TTAAATACTCTCATTAAGATCATTGGAAATTCAGTGGGTGCTCTGGGAAACCTCACCCTGGTCCTCGCCATCATCGTCTTCATTTTCGCTGTGGTTGGGATGCAGCTCTTTGGGGAAATGTATTGCAGAAATGTCAACAGGATCAGCACCACGGGACTGTTGCCACGCTGGCACATGAAGGACTTCTTCCATTCCTTTCTCATCATCTTCCGCATCCTCTGCGGCGAATGGATTGAAACCATGTGGGATTGTATGAAAGTGGTCGGACAGCCTCTGTGTCTCCTGGTCTTCTTGCTGGTTATGGTGATTGGGAATCTGGTGGTGAGTACGACAAACGTTCGTTTTTTGTTTGGTTTGTTTTGTTTTAGAAGGGCTCTTTCTTGGCTTTTTGCTGGGTTGTCCAACGTTCAAGGGCTCCGGGGCTTGAACTGGGAACTTGGTGCGCGGCAGCTGGGATCCGGCCCACAAAGCGTACAGCGCTCGCTCAGGACACTTGTCTCTTCCAGATTCCTCATTGGCCTTGACATAGTCAAGCAGAATGAAAGACTGGGATGTCATAAGAAATTGATCAAGCGAGCTAGCAAAAGCAAGCTCTTCTGATAGACTAGTCATGAAGAAAGTCAGGATGAACTGGCCTGCTCTGAGGAACAAATCAGGGCTCTCTTTGAGCAGATCCTTAAGTCACTTCCATTCCTGCCTCTTACTTTCCCCTCATGGAGAAAACTAACCTTGGAGAGAGGAAGGAAGAGCCAGAGGTGCTAGAGTCACAAGGTCCTCTGTGCATGACCATACTGAAAAGCGGGTTTCTTTTTTAGTTTGCCCATCAGGTAGAGGAGATACCTATATGGCAAATAGTGCTCTGAATTCAGAGGGCTGTGCTTCTACCAGCGGATTTGGAGAATAGATGGTGCACAGAACTCAAGAGGAGAGTTTTGTAGCGTGATTTTGCAAATGAGTGCCATGTCTTTTTTTTTGCTGACGTAGTGAAGGGGCTGCACACTTTGGATCTCTTTCCAGGGGTCAAGGTTCACCGTTGAGTGCCAAGAATGGGTTATTCATCTCTGTGTGGACTTGAAATGTGGTGCTTGCTCTGACATTCTTCATTCCTTTTGCCGTTCAGTCAGCCTTGTAACCCATTAGATGGGCTCAGACGCACTTCAGCACATTCATACAGCCCCATGGGAGATAACGTACATTAGTGCCATCCATTGTGATTGCCGTGTGCTTGTTTAGCCATCTGATCTAGGTTGACAGAATCCAATGTGCCCTAGCTTAGTAACTTTCAGATATGTAAGAGAAGAACTACCTTCAGTTCCGGACAACATGATCATTGTTGGATTCTATCATCATTAGCTAGCATGGGTGATGGGAGTCAGACATCAACAACAGCTGGCGATCAAGCCTTTAAGATATGTTGGGAGCTATGAGTCAGTTACACTTCTGCAAAGCCATACTACAACCGAGAAGGCTTTGGTAATGTACTTTCAGCGTAAAGTAACTTATCTGAGCCTGAATTGAAGATGCATGTGATCATCTAGGTGTTAACATTTGTGGCTGGGAAAGCACGTCAGCAATTTCTAAGCCTTTGGCATAAACTGATGCTTCCTGAAATGTATGCTGGCGCATCGCAAAACTAAGGCAAGGCTGCCAGTTCCCAGTCAGATGATGTTAGTCATCATGTAGAACTGAACATCTTGACCACAGCCCCAGATTAGGGTCCACATAGCTGTTTTAAGCACCATTATAATGCACTGCCGTAATCGCCATGCGCTGTGAATGTCATCAGCGAATGCCGCCAAGGGTCGGATGGAATCAGAGAATGGACAGAATGAGTCTCCCACGCATTGCAGGGAAACAGCTTTGGGACGATCCAACCTGTATAATGATGTTTACCATAAGAATTTTTGCAAAATGGCTCGGCGGGTTTCAGATGGAAATGAAGGTCAGGAGGGTTAATACAGCAAACCACAGGTTGGCAAGTTATTAAGAAACAACAGAGTGCCTCGTTAACGGCACTTTATCAGGCTTCCCGGTGGTTGCCAACAAAATGTAATTGTACTCCACATTGCCTCATGCGAACTGACACCAGAGAGCCGTGCGGCACCACCTGTCTCTCAAAGGAGAGTCTTGTGGTGGGATTTGGAAAATGGTTAATGTGCTCGCTCGCTCGGCAGTGAGACCCTAGCCTGCTGAAAGGCAGGGAGAAAGTATGAGGGGTCGTGACCTCTAAACCGCCCGTGCTGGAGTTTTGGCTAAGAGATCTCGTCCATGATGATCATGCGGCCGATTTTATTTCTGAACAAGGTGGCGGATGAATAAGGTCATCGGAATTCCTTTATAGTGACAGAGAACCTGGACATTTCAGTGGCACCACTTAGCAGGCATTGAAGTGCTTTCATGCTTTGTTGGGAGGTCAGGTCTCGATGGAACTGCCGTGGAGTAGCTAGAACTTAGGAAAGTGATTTTTGCCTAAAAGTCATGGTTGCCCTTTGAGGGAAAACTTCAACAAAACAGCCAACGGCCCACTGGCCAAGTTGCTTCATTGAATAAGACCGTTGCAACAAAAGCTACAGTGTAGTATGGCATTCTTCAGCTTCAGGGAACTTCTGTAGCCAGAGCATCAACCGTCATTGTTCTTATGTGCCACCAAATTGCTTCTGACCTACAGTTACCTTAACAGAGGTTTTTAAGTACATGAGATGTTCAAGGAGTGGTTCATCATTGCAGACTCCCAGTGACATTTCATGACCAAGTAGGGATTTGAACCCACGTTTCCTGAGTCCTAGTCCGACACACTGCTCTCTGTGCTACACGGACCTCTACTACCCTCATAGCTCAGCAGAAAAAGTAGCTCTCAGCTTGCTGTCTACTAGTAATTGTGATAATTACCACTATTGATCACCTCTCTGTGTGTGTTTGTTTGTGTTGCTTCCAGTGCAGCTGTGTTTGGGCGACACAGTAGGCCAACGGGATTCTAGCTTGTTTTGTAACATTGCTGGTTTTGGCTTGGTTCTTCAGCCTAAACAAAGAGATTTGCGGTGTCAAACTACAAGCTTCTGTATAGCCAATGTCTACCTGCTCACTACCAGTCAGATTCCCAGATTGCCTTCAGAAATATGACTCCTTGCTGGCCTGGCCCCCAAAAGTACCATATTTTTCCGTGCATAAGGCTATACCTTTGTCTAAAATCTTTAGACTAAAAATTGAGGGTTGTCTTATACATGGAAGTAAGCTGAGGAGAGAACAAAAACAAGTGGAGGGGAAAGCAGGGATCAGAGTGATCCTGCAGCACTTTGATCCCTTTCCCCCTACGCTTGCTAAACCCCTCTTAGATTTCTTAATTTTGGATTAGAAAAGTGGGGGGGGTCTTATACATGGGGGCGTCTTATACACAGAAAAACACGGTAATCGGTCAACATGAACCGGGGTTGGGCTGGAGCGGTATCGCCTCTACGTCGTGCAACGCCTGGGAAATCCCTTATACTGGAGCCCACCGCAAGGGAAGCAGAATGCAAGCTATATGCCCATGTGACCACACCCTCAGTTGGTGGGAAAGCCTCTTCGTGTAAAAAGGGTCCTGATCCTCTAGAGAGAAAGTTTTGCCATTTTTATTTTTTAAACTTTGAGAAGATCCCATTGTAGAAAAGGGAGTGGAGGAAATGCACTCTGCCCTTTAGGTCTACTTTGGCCTTCTCTCTAAATCTTTAAAATGGACCTCAGCCTGAATTGGCACTTTAGGTTTATTTGATCAAAATGGAGAAAAAGCACAATTAGCCCCCAATTTGTATGAGTAACACCTTTCATAGTCTAGCCACTGCACTCAAGACAACCCCCAAATCTGTTTTTTACCTTGAAGGGAGACAGGTGCCCCTCACAGACAGACACGTCAGTGTTTTGGAAAGTGTCTGTCTCTTTCTCCCGGAAACTGGAAAAGTTACTTACTGGAGGATTCTGGGAGCTGTAGTCCAACAAAGTACATTTTTTTCAAGCTCTGGGACAGACACCCCTCCACACACACACACACATATACAAAGACATTGCCTCAGGACACAACGCTTGTCATGGTGTGCAACTCTCTTAGTTATGCCCGTGACATATAGATCAGATGACTCACCGGCTATCAGCATGACAGCACCACAAATAGACATTAAAAGAAGGGAAGGAACAGTCACAACTTGGCCCTCAGTCTGGAAAGTTCCACTCCAATGTACTGTCCCAAATTCTCACCTCCAGATGTTCTTCCCCCTATTGTATGAAAGTGACCAAGGATCTTGGGATACTGTGAATTTGTTGTGGGTTGAGTTTTGTTAAGCAAGGGTGGGGACTGGCTGTGAAGTTGGACTTAAATCACACTGGGGACTCAATTCAGGCTCAACTCTCTCCCCCCACCCCACCCCAATGACCTAGACTCAACCCACCCCTCCCTTTTCTCCTGGGAGAAAAGAATTTGTTTTTAATAGGGACTCAGACTTGGGACTTGGTACCAAAGACTCTGACTCAGAGTTGGGGCTCAGACCCAAAGTCTTGCCAAAGACCTTTTGGGGTCAACATTGGCAAACGCCGCATCCAGTAGTGACTGAATTTGCCACCGTGTGCCTTCCTTCCAGATGAGATGAGAGTTCTCTTTAAAAACAAAGAATACATCTTGTTTAAGAGGGAAGAACATCTGATTTCAGCTTGGAAAAGGCAGCTGAGTTGCAGAATTCTGGATAATGGAAGGCAAGGAGGATAAGAGAGAGGAAAGAGTGTCTTGCTGGATGAAATCTCAGAGACGGTGGGATCTCGCTTTGTGGTGCCCTGAAAGAGCTGGAGGCAACTGAGTGTGGTATGGTGTGGGTCACTGAAGCCAGGAGAGGAGGAATGGGGGGAACACCGTCCGTGAGAAAAGAACATGGCAGAATTATGCCCGTTCAGCAAGGAAGCACCCTCACCAAGGCTCCTGGGATTAAGGAGGCAAGAGGAAAGGCTGTGGCACTAAAGCCAGCAGGCAGTGGTTGGCATACTCGCCATTGTACCAAAAGGGAGGAAAAGAGAGAGAGAAAGCAGAGGGGAAAAAATCCACAAGGAAAAGGGTGGTAGAAAAACCTGCCAAACTGAGGCCACTGGCCACCAAAGACTTCTGTTGCATGCCCTATGGGCCTATGGGCAGCCAAAAATGCACATGGAAGGAAGGAAGGAAGGAAGGAAGGAAGGAAGGATGGATGGATGGATGGATGGATGGATGGATGGATGGATGGATGGATGGATGGATGGATGGATGGCTGGATGGATGGATGGATGGATGGATGGATGGATGGATGGATGGATGGATGAATGAATGG